CTTGAAAGCAAAGACATAAACAGTCATTAACACGTTTCCTAGCTTTGGCTTTGTACAAGTAATGGCACATTTAAGAGTGTGAAGTAATCATTCAGTTTACAATGTTTAACAAATTTATTAGAATGCCACTAAATTAGCAGTATTGTTAATTAACAAAATTATTTTTTAATGTTTGTGTTTTAATGTTAGTCTGTGAGCACACACAAGCATTAAAGCATTAAAAATGATATTTTTAATGCTAGAATACAATAATTGTTGTTAGTTGTGAATTTTCAACAGAGCACAATGTTGTTACTTTTTGATTAAGATGCCAAATAATGCTTATTTACTTACATTCCTGAACATAAAAAAATAGTTTTAATGCTTGAGCGGTATGCCTGATTCGTTCCCGGCTTCTCAGAAAAGTCCGGTGTGTTGCCCCAAATTTGGGTATAAAAAGGTGAATTGAGTTTGCTGTTTGTCTAACACGTAACAATATCATTTGTAGTTTTAAACAAACTTATAGCAGATTTCAAAATATTTGCGTTTTCTTGTTTTTATGATAGGTCTAATAAATAGTAGAGCTTAATAAAATCAAATGGAAGCTTAATGTACAGTACTAATTTGACCTTTTTTAATTTTTAAACCAGTTTAACTCATTTAACTTTTAATTTATGTATGTAAATGCAACTGTTTATCCAATCTAGGCTAGTAAGAAAGGGGCAGGTATGGAACCTAATCACAGTACACCAAGAAAACGGTATTCTGTATTCAGTAAGACAGGATTAAAATGCATCGATAAAGAGTCAAAAATATATTTTTGACAAAAAACAATTTTTTTTGTCATTTTAATTTGAGATTTTACAAATGAGACGTGAATAATTAAAAACTGTAGCAGATTTGAAAGCTGTCGGTTTCTGCTTTTTCCATGCAGGTACTACTACCAGAGAGGCATACTGAATAAGGTCGAAGGCCAGCGCCTCGTTTACCAGTTCACCTCTCTCCCCAAAGACATGATTTACATCACCGATGGAGATGGCATCAAAGAGGAAGACGACGAGGACCACGATGACAACAGCGTCAACGACGAAGGCTTGAGCGACGACTCTGACAGCACCGTATCGTCTAATGACCATTCAGCGGAGGAGCAGGAAGATTCTCAGCCACCGCCAAAGAAATCGTCCCCCGTCTCCGGCCGCGCTCCCGCTTCACAGCGCACCAGGCCCGCTCCCAGGCCCTCAGCTCAGCGCGACACCGTCCTGCGTCCCACCAGCTCCAGTTTGATCCAGGAACAGCATCTGCCTATCGTGTCGGCTGAGATGCTACGCACGCTCCAGAACCTGCAAAAGGTCCAGTCTCTCAAACCCGCCGGTCACGCGTCAGTCTTCAAAACGGCTCAGCTGCTGGGGAGTCTGTGCGAGCGGCAGGCCGCTGCCGAGGTGGCCATAGGGAGAAAAGGTGCGCCGGAGATGCCCGAGAAAAAGTCGCACCCAGGACCAAAAACTCCACAGCTTATGCCTCTGATTAGCTCTGACCAATACAAATAACAGGTGCCCACTTTCTATCGAACACACAGATGCCTGTACACTCCACTGACTCAGGACCACTTACAGGGCTGCACTTTGCTATGACAATGCTGATTTAAAAACAAAGGGACTTTTGATGTAGAATATTATTTTAGATCATAAGTACAGATCAGTGCTTTCTCACAGCGCTGACAGGAAACAGCAGTTTACCTTCTCAGCTTTGAAATCTGATCATTTCGCCTTATTGTCATTCTGTGTAGCCCTTTGTTAAACCAACACCAAAGACAGACATGCACTGGAATCTCTGGCCTCTCTGCACTGCCTGCAGACACTTTCTCTGCTTGCACTTCAGCTCCAGTGTCCTGGAAGCGATTATCTTATCACCACACTGTGCCCTTCGTCTCTGCCTTTTGCTCTCACTTTCTCCTACGTTGTTTAGTTTTGTGTCTTTATGCAATCACGTGCTGAAGCATTCCTTTGCCTTAAAAGTGGCTTTGCACTAATGTTTACCTCTGCTGTATATTTCTTCTGAAGTGCCTGAAGATGTCAGTCCATCCTATTCCTGGTAATCATGAGGGAAAACATTCCATATTGTTATTGTTATTATTATTGTTGTTGTTGTTGTTGTTTTTTAAGATTGCTGCATTTTTTTGTCTGCATTGTGAAATGTTGAAAACAAGGGATCACTGTTATTTTTTTCAAAGTAGTACTTTAGCACTTGCGCTGTTTATTATTTGTGTATCTACACCATGGGACTCTTTTTTTCTATCTTCTTCTTGACAATCACCAGTGAAGTGGCCTTGTAGCCACCCTGCCTCCTGTAAAATGATAGTGCTACTATTTAGCTTTTCTCTTGTGCACTAGCTATCCATATATGAGTGCATATATTAAACTCAGAATCCTCTATCTGTATGCGTCTATTACGCACCGTAGGGCCTCAACATTAAAACCACTGTGCTGGCTGAAGTGAACATTTCGTTACAGTGCAATGTTTGGCTGGCATTCACGTGGGTTTAGCATCGAGCTCAGCGTTGCAGAAGGCGCCAGCAGCGGCATCTCTGCACAAAGCAGACCTACATATTACCAGGCTGGTGGTTTTAATGTTTTGGCTGATCTTTGTGTACTGTATACCTGTGAAAGCGCTGGCCTTGTCTTTTGATGCCATTTTTTTTTCCTTCCCTCAGGTTTATAAAGCATTTTTGTGCTGCACATATTATGTACTCTATGCAAGAAGTAAAGGTAAAATTGTAAGTTTAATATTTTCTCTTTGCCCGGTCTTAGCGTAGGCTCACGAAGCTGGCTTACAAGCTTCACCTCACTCCAAATTTAAAAAAAAACGACTGAAACTTAGGCTGGCTTTTTGAGAGGCTAAACTTGGCAAAGAGATGCTTATAAAGTAACTGTGCCTGCAGGGAACTCTTATGCAGAACTATTTTCACTTTGTTAAACCATGTTTGTTTGTTTTGGGGTTTTTTTGCCCCTTGCTTTTCAGTGTGTGTCCTGGTAATGTCTTACCTTAATAGATTTGTAAGCTTGTAGCAGAGGGAGAGGTGGAGCTTGTTTTTTGTTTTTTTTATGCTGTATTGTGTTTGCTTTCATGCTGTCCAGTGATGTTAAAGCTAATCGTCTATTATATAAAATAAATTTACATTTGTCATTGTGTGAAATCCATCATTGTTCCTTTGAAAGACTCGGAGCATCAGTAGACATAGCTTGGTGAGTGTATATGTCACATTTGAGCAGTGCGTTCGACTGCTGCTTTATTAGTAAAGGCCTAATGCAATGATACAGATCTGCCAGAACTACTTCTACAGAATTCTGACACGATCAGTTTGTTTTTCTTTTTTTTTTTTTGCTGTTGTCAGAAAGGTGTTAATTCTATTTTTGATTTGGCGAAGTTGTTTTTTGGCTTAACACATCAACACTGAACAAGCTGATGGAGGTTTTTCCAACTGATACCATAGTTTGCATCTCTGTTACCTTGTCAGAGGTCAAGCTCTGTGAAAATCTTGTGAACATATTAACTGAAGAAAAGTGTCACATAGGCTTTTCAAATTGATACCATTGAGGAGCTTGGCTTGGGGGTAGCAATGGCGACCACCAGTCTTTTTAACATACCAATGGTGCTAATCTGAGGTTGCAGAAGTGCAAATACCTCTGTTAAAAAGTGCTCTGGTAAAAGTTAAAGTACTGATTTGACTTCTTTACTCAAGTAGAAGTGAAAAGTACAGGCTCTGAAATGTACTCAAAGTAAAGTAGCTCTTTGGAGGACATTTCTATACCAGCTATTTTTGTGCAAAGCTAACTGAGCTATCGTAATATAGTAAAATGACAGTAGTACATGGCAATGCAGTCTTTATTATATAATTCCTGATCTAAAATTTATTTCTAATGAATGTATTCAACTTGAATCAAGTATGCAGAACATGAACATAGAAAAAGAAGAAGTTTATTTTGTGTTGCCTGCAGTGTAGAGGGTGACATTTCCTCTAAACAAGAAAATGTGTCAGGGGTTAAAGTGGATTCTGCACATGGGGAAACCCCAAAATCCACTGTAGCGGTTTAGTGTGGAGAAAAGAATGAGAACTCACAATAATTTCTTCTGTGAGCTCCAGCAGATTTTCTTAGTGTACCGGCTGTGATCAGCTGACCTGCTGATCTTTGTGGAAATACGCAACTGAATTCAACAGGATGTTACATGTTACACATACATAAAGCATGTACAAGGACAGATAACACTAAATACTTAAAATGTCCCAAGGAAGAGGAGTATTCTTCAGTCCAAATGTTTTCCTCCTCTTGAGATCAGCAACAATATTTTTAAACACATGCAGTGTCACTGGTAGTTATATTTTGATCAAATAGCTACTTTACCCCTTGTTTTCCAGATGTGAACGTTAATAATGCACACGACTACCTAGAATGGATGTCTTTTAAAGTCTCGCATTATTTCCTTAAAGAGACGTGCAACACAAATTTGTCAACATCACAACCCACAGCCGAATCGCTGTCTTATTTCCGTTGTTCTCTGTCTGATTACAGATCCAGCTGATGTTGGAGCATTTCATCCTCCCAATGAATCACTGGACATTTTTGTGCTAACATAATAGGTTCATTGTACCACAGCTCTCACAGGAAGTCTGACTCAAGTCTGACTGAGATAAGCCATGTCTCCGTAATTCTCTGATATATTGTATCATTTATGTTTCCTGACAGTCTGAGGGAGTCCAAATCTTTTGTGTTTATATTATATTAACCCCATTTTTATTTTCATTAATGGCATTATACATTTGTTGGTGGCTGACCGTACCCAGTTTCAATTTAAACGTTTATAACGACAGATCTGCCGCCTAATTCGCTGTCCAGAAAATCGTCTCCTTAAAAAAGCAAAAAACAAAAAAACAAACAAAAAAAAGTTATCGCTGTTTTGCAATAACTCCTCCGGGCCGTTAGGGGGAGTAGAGGCAGTATGAGCTGTGCGCAGCCGGATGTTGACAGGCTCTCTGCTGTGTTTGAGCTGTAACTGTTACCGCTATCACGTTTCTCGTAGTCTCCACATCTAGAACTTTCCCGTCACTCCAGAAACAGTGCACATCCACAGAAGCAGATGGCAACCGAACGGTAAGTTCATCTAAATCTATCAATGAACTGTTCTTATAGCAGCAGACATTTCTTTTCTTTCAGTTATTTAACGCTAACTTGCTTTTTTGTTGCTTTTAGCAGCTTCCCCGATAGCTTCATTGACGAAGATCCACAGAAAGCTCTGCAGGTAAAACATTAGCCTCAGTTAGCCACAAACAAGTTTGTGTGATGTACGGTGGCTCTTGCAAGATGTCCATTTAACGTTAAATTCAGTCGACTTACTCTAGAAAGGAAATTGAGTAATACCCGTGGTGTTTGTGTTAATGATATTACCAACAAGCTAGCGAAGTTAGCCAACATGTTTGCTAGCCCTATTTAGTTATGAATAAAAGTAATCCCAGAATCGCTTCGTTATCATATCAAACGGTCACCTGTTTCTTTAATACCATTAAGAATTAAATATGTCTCATGCGTGAGGAGGTATTACTACATAACGTTAGCTCGAAATAGTCTGCTTGCTGGATACTAGCCCTGTCATCCTGACATGAAGTTGGTGTCAACTGTGAACAGACTAAACCAGTGAAGTTTATTTCTGCTGTTTTAAAAGCCACTAGTGAATCTGCGGTTATTTATGTGACTAACCGGGACAGTATTATGAAAATCATTACAGTTTGGTTTGCAGGAATAACACAGATTCAAATAGATTTACGGAGAACTGCTTGTTCTATAACGATATCCGACTGCGAAAGTGAAAGTTGCAGATGCATAACTGCGCTACTTTCGATTTAAGCATTTTTCTAGAAGTTTCTTTCCTGCCACAATTCTTGAAGCTGAAAACACGATTTTAAGCCCTTTATACAATAATAGCAACCTCGTTATTATTTTCAGGAGCTTAACGAGGCCTTACAAGGAGACTCAGACAAAGCTGAGTGGTTTTGTCAGCGTGCCTATGCCCACATACTGCTCAAGAACTACAGCTGTAAGTCTGCACAGCACATGTGGAAACAGATCACACTAATAGCATTTTTGATGCATTATGAAGTGCATGAACATTATGTGAGCATTACAAATACCTGTTGTTTAGCTTTTGAGCTTTTACATTGCATGTGACTCAGCCTGGATATATGCACTGCATAAAGAAACATAGTAATTTTTTTATTTTTGTTTTGTGTCCACAGGTGCTGCTGATGACGCCAAGAAAGCACAACAGCTAAAACCCAGCCT